TTCTGCAGATAAAAAGTTATCTAAGGGCACATCCTTCCCTCCTGTCACAAAAACATATTTCAGGGAAGCACTTAACTTTTTTTTTTTAGCCGATATGTAGCACAGACAAAAGGTTGCCTCTACTTTGGAGTTAAAATACCTTGTCTCTGCTCCAGAAATTTTTCAAAGTATTTTATATTAAATGGTCACATATGATCTCTAATTTTATTCAGCGTGTGTCTTATCAGGTTGCACTGTTCCTTTTCCACTGTAACACTCTTTAATCTTTTCCTGTCCTGTGAAGCTGCCTTGGGGAAATGAACAGGGGGTATCTCAACACTGAGTCATTGGAGAACTTTCCAGCCAGGAAACTGTACAGTACATTCTGTGTACTCTCTTGTGTTTTCTGCAGCCTTGATGAGTTTTAACATGAGTTAGGTACAAAGATCCTTAGATGTGTGATGATGAGGTTAGTTCTGAGCATACACAGACATACTACGCTAGATGCTGGAGGAAGGTGGCATTTGAATATTTGCTTTAAAATTGTGTTTAAAATGTAAGTATTAAATTCTACTGAAATCCTAACTTTAGGCTTCAAAGTCTCTTTTTTGGGGGTCAGCCAAACCAGACCTGACACTGGTCTCCAATACAATACAAAATTCATGGTCACATTGTTAGTTCTGAGCATAGTGCTCTCATTTCCCTAAGGAACCAACTCTTTTTTATGCTGTCTGTTGCTGTCATCTTTTATCCTCTCACCTCATAAATGATGTATTAAGCAGAATAACAAGGTTGCACACTTTACAAAACTTACACCCACAGCTATGCTGTCTTTCAGTTTGGTCTTGCACACTAAAGAAAACATTTGCAGGGGAACTCCTCTATCATCCTGAGAGTCATAGATTTGGCTTCCCATTTACTCTCTTTTGATAGCTTATTCTCTCAGTTTTTAAAAAAACTTTTCCTTTTACAAACACAGCAACTGAATAAATATCCAAGCAAACTAACATGACTTTTTTTTTTTTCTTTTAGAACTTATAATAGTTTTTGAATTAGCATTTAATTTCTATCTCACTTTTGTAGCTGGAAATCAATGGAAGAAGCCAGCACCTTGTGATCAACCAGGCTCCATGAAAATATCAACAAGTGATTTGTGAACTGTGGTCTAAAAATCTCTGGTCTAAGGTATCTGCATGAGTCTAGGCACCAAATGTTCAGATAGAAGTACAAGGAAGCACATCTTCAAAGTCATGCAATCATTCTTCAGAGACAATTTAAAAATACAGTTCTTCAGTATTGCAAAGGCTCCTTTCCAAGTGGCCTGAGAGTGACCCACTTTATTTCAAAAGCATAGATCCAGAGGTGATTACACCATCACTCTTTAGAGCTGGCCTCTAGCACAAAAGAAATAAGAGATTTTTTTGAGGTCCATGTGGTCAAGAATGACAGTAGTTTCAAATCCTTTAATTCCCTTTGTGTCAGCAGCACTATATTGGAAGGCAAATTTCAAGCCATTCAGTTGGTACTTGCACATTCTTTAGTTAAACTGAAAAGTGTTCATGATTGTAACTTTTTATTTATATCTGAAAACCCTTGCCACTCTAGCTTAATGTCCTAAACAGAGACTAGCATACAAACAGCATAATGAAGTCATGATATCTGTCATTCATAATTTTTTTTCTCTTATGTCAAACCCACTGGCTTCTCCCAGAGAACTTTCCAGTCTTGCAAATCTCCCATTGGGCTCATTTGGATTATTATTACAGGCATTACACCATTTTTGCCTTCTTCTCCACAAAACCTTTCCTCACTTTGTTGAAATTCAAACACGTAATAAAAAATGGCATTGATGCACTCTAGTTTGCACAATTAAAAAAGATTCTGCCTTCTTTAAATGCCTCTAAGGTTGCCCATCTTTCATTAAAAATAGACTGACTCCTTGAGGATACTACCTCAGCAGGGTAGCATGGTTTCTTGTGTCACTGAAATGTCTGCTGAGACTGGTAGATACGCAAAAGATACATGACTCCACTGAAAGTGAGAGCGAACAAAAGTGTTTGAAATTTGGGTTGCACAACATTGGTGTTTTAGGCTCTTAAAACATGCATTCAGGGCACATGGTGCATCCACACCCAAATTGTCATGACAGTACACATGACCATTGTCAGGAAGCTCTGAGCAATAGCTATGGTGCAGCTTGAGAGCAGAAGAGGTATATTTATGCTGAGCTTGACAGTTTCTATTTTTCACTCCTTTTTACTTGTTTTTTATTTAAGGAAAGATTTTTATGTTTGTCTGTATAATCCTTATTTCCACTGTTGATTATTTCACAGTGCAATGAAACCCACAGGTTTTAGCAGGAATACAATTCTATTAATTGTACACCACCATAAGTAAAAGACTATAGGGGATCTAAAATGCTAGGGAAGGATCAAGGTGGAGGATGTTCTCGTAAATATATTGGTCAATAGTTTGAAGTATAAGAGAACAGGTAGTAATAGAATCTCTTCAAAATTCACATTAGTTATCTCAGTACACTCTATATTAGAACAGTATTGCACTGATGGGAGACAAATATTATCATATAAGTCTTCCATGAACAACATTTAAGTGGTCTAAACTCCCCTAATAAGAATGTTTGTATCACAGGCTGATTGGACATGCTTTTCTCTTAAATATGGGTTGTAACCTGTGACAGAAGATGCTTTCTTCTGAAGACATGGACAACTAGGGAATGATGGGACATGCTAGTTCTGTGAACCAAGAGGGCAAAACTGTGCTCTAGTCTGGGAACCGTGCAGCTGCACAGAACTGAGTCCATGTGATCAGTCATGCGAGGATGCAAGAACTGCATATGGGCAACAAGGACCTTCAGTCATGTCTTAGTGTAGGGATCTGCCTTCTGGAGTAGAGCTGTTTTGTGACCTGCCTGTTCATGCAAAGCTGATAAATGACTGTACCTGACAAGACAAGCATGCCCAGACTGCAATTGGATAACATTGCCTGGCTGTAGAGTCACTAGACCATCTCTGTGAGGTGCTGGTCTGGATTCAGTCATCTATTACTTTTCATTTTTAAATGTTGTTGAGCAGCAAATTGGGGTGCAACACATAATAGTGAAGCAAGCACCCCAAAGGAAAAGAAAATGCTCTTTGCTAAAATATGTGAATGTGCTTTCATCTTTTACTTGTTTGATCACATAGCTATTTTGAGCATGGGGGAGAAAAAGGAGGTATGAATTTTGATTACAAAATATTTGTTATCTTCGAAGAAACAAGATCTAAAGGTTTTGAAAATAAAATATAGCAGCCTTATTTCAAGGCTCCCTTCCTTGAGGCTGTCTTCTATATAAGGCTACATCAACTCAACTTTGAATCAAAGTACATTACTCATCACTTCATGCTATCCTTCAATAAAATAAAACAAACCCATAAAAGTTTGGCACCTGAGGACAGCTATGTCATGAAGAAGAGAGTAAATACAGTGTGCGTTTAGGGTCTGACTTACAAGTTCTATGTAACTACACCTATCAAAAATTATTTAGCTACTATTCAAACTTTAAAACTCTTCCCTGCCTGTATTAAAAAAGTGCTGTGACAGTATGAAGTGCACTAAATTGTACTACCTTGATATAGGAAAAGAAATTGAGGAATCCCCTTGTTTCTTCTGTGAGTTGCTAAGAAACAAAGATTCTGTTGGTTCATATCTCATTAGGTCTTCTTTTTTTTAACCTTTACTCTGTATTGCTTTGAATGTATTTTTTTTTTGTCACTGTTCATAGCTGCAAGGCATCAGCAGCGAAACAAATTTTAAAATTGTTGCTTATTAAAGAGTAGCTTAATCACCTCTAAGAAGACTTTGACACAGGGTTTTTTCCATATATATGTGTATATTAATTAAGATTATGACAACCTTTCCCACTGACAGTTAGCATTTGTCATAATCCAAATCGGTATCCTAGAATTCTGTCATTCAAAGGATGGAAAAAATCCTTAGGGTGTTTACCTGTTTGTTACAAGCAAAGATGGGAGTCTGAATAAGCATTTTAACTGGTAACATTATCATGAGGATGTCCATAAAAATGTGTTAATTTCTCTAGGGAGTGCAGCTATGATGTAGCTTGGTAGTGCTGCTAGAAAGAGAATATTCATCTCAACAACTTGCCCTGGTAAGGGAATTACAAAACAGTACTCCAGAAAATATTTTTTGCTACTTCAATATTAGTTGGCAACATGGTGAAATAGTCAGGAAATCTTCCTTGGGTTTTGTTGTTGTGAAGGTGAATCCAATGATAACAAATTGAAATTTTATACTGATAGAAGATAATTCCATAAACAAATGCGTAGGTTGAGAAGTCACTTGTAAAGCCCTCCATATTGCAGTCACTCACTGCAAAGCCTCAGCTTAGTGTTATCCACGTGTAACGTATCACAGACACAATATTCTTCAGCAAAAAGTTTAGTAGTAACATACATTACTGCTTTTTGTGATCTTCATAGAAAAAAAAAAGAGAGAAAGCTTGACATGTTGGTCCCAGATTTGAGTCTGTTAGAAAATGTACATTCAACGTTTGGTCTTCTATTCTTGATAAAAGATCAAGGTTCACTTCTGGGCAAGGGATCAGAGTAAACAAACAAACCATTGTACAGTTGTTTACAATCTAGTTCCCCCCGTCCCCTATATTGTACACACAGTTCATTGTAATACTAAAGCAAAGCACTTGGTATGTAACTGGATTAACAGACTCCTTATAAGCCCTCAAAAATAGATTCAGTGTTTCTGAAAAGCCCATGTTTTTTTAAGGCCACGATAATCTGCCAAAAGTCATTTTGTCTTTAAATCAGCATAATTAATCTGATGTTTCCACCTCTCAAGTGATTCCTCTTCTTCCCTTCCATTCCTCACAAGATGACCCAATGCCTCTCACTCTGTTTGCGTAAACACTGGAGATCTTGAAGACTTGACTGTCCCCTTACTACTTGCTTGTAGTTGTTGAGCCCCAACATCATCTTGAACTACATTCACAGCGAAGAAGAACTTTGAGTATAATCTCTGATGAGGAGTGTATCATATTTGGGGGAGGACGGGATACAGAGAGCTGATTCAGAAGCTGGAGAGCTGGGAGATGCACTTCCAGAATCAATGGAGTCTCTAAAAGGAGAAGGAGGAGTTAAAGCCACCAACTCCTCCAGGTCTTGCTTGGCTGTTGGGGTCTCTGAAGTGCCTTCTTTGATGCTGTCATTTGAAGGTTTCCTAGCAGACTGTGAAGCACCATTGACTTCAATGGCAGGAAGTGGTTGGATCTCTGCAAGCGTGGTCATTGTTGTAGGGAGCTGGATTTCCCGTGGAATCAGGTATGAAGAGCAGATAGGAGCAGCCCCCATTGTCCCTGGAGTAGGTGTTGAAAGCATCATAGAGTTCAGCTCACTGATATTGGCTGTGAAGCGAGTAACGACACTGCTGATCTGCTCCATGAGGGAGCCTTGAGAGGAGCTACTTCTCTGGGGAGGCTCTGACTGGAAGGTAGGGGCTTCATCTTCTGTTCGGCTGACAGAGGCAGTTCTGTGGCTCAAAGTGCTGATTGGTGAGGGAGTCTGTGGTCGGTACTGAGCTGGGTATTGCTCTTCGGCTTCCGAAACGTCATAAAGCGTTTTGGCACTAGCCTCGGGAAATGTAGCGCTGCTACTGTGTCGGCTACTATCTGTGCTTTTAGAAAAAGGCTTGATCACTGCAGTTTGGTTGGGGTTCTCTTTTTTGTTGATGTGGACTGACAACCGCTGCCAAAGGTGTGCTCCTCTGCTGCTTTTCTCGTTCTGGGCCCAGGAAACTGATTTCCCATTAGAGCTGTAAACACAAATGAAACAAGATGGTAACTTGCAACAAAGTTAAAAATATAATTGCTGTACCTATATCAAGGGTATATGGTATTTCAGAGTTTATATTCACCATAAAGCTGACTGTAATTTTATCTATATCTGTTTATTGCAATATATCTATATCTGTCATTTATACCTGTATGTTCTAGGACAACAAGCAGCATGTCAGCTCATTTACAGGCCAGTTGTGCACACTGCCACCACCTGTCCTGTGCTAGCTCATGGCCACTGCTGACCCCTCTGTGGAGGCCCTTGGGGCACAGACAGTCCCTGCTGGGGGAGTCAGCAGCTTGATGGCTTCCCTTCTGCTGGACTGGTGTTGGGAAGAGGGCCTGTGGGACTGAGGGATGTATAGAGGGGTGAGGAAGAATTAAATGCTTGAAGAGAGTGAGTGAGAGACTCGGACTGACTAGAGTGCAGGGGCAGGTATGTGGTCTGGCCTAGGAGCTTTCAGTGGTAAGGAGCTTGTTATAGTGTTCTGAACATGGATTCCTGGTATGGGGGCAGGGATTGTAGACTGGGAGATGAAGAAGTGTAATCTGTTAAGGCTGAGGAAAAAAAAATCTATTTATGTCCCACTACTTGAAAGCATTGGAGCAATACACAGAAAGAGACTATACTGGTTGTAGGTAATGGGCAACAACTTCTTCATCAAGGTACTTGGCAAGCTACCTGCCCCTAAATTAAAGAAATAATTTATTTTTTTTCAAATTACAGGTCAGCTCAGAGAATGAAACTATGTTCCTAGTAGGAAAGAAATACCAGACAAACTATACAAGCAGCTCCTCACGGTAGCATGAGTTTGGAGACAGCAATAAAAATTTTGCTCCACTTTTCTGCAAAATGAGTCCTCTCAGGGTAAATTCTCTTCAGATCCTGTCATACTCTTTATCAAAGCTGCTTGTTTGTCTCCTCTTGACACCTAAGAAAAGGCAGCTGTGGCCCTTATAAACACATAGTATTTCCTTCTGCATCTTCCTTAGTCTGATGAGCTGGTGTTCGCACATACATTAACATATAGTTTTTGGAAATAAGAAAGATATTAGAAATATTTCTTAGCTGAAACAGACAATGACTCTGAAATGATGTCAACAGGAAAAAGTCTACACATACAAATAAACATGATTTATATATAAAACGCATCAAAACTTTAGGCAATTCACTTTGGTTTCCAAAACATTTGCTATAGCCATTTAGGAATTTGTGACAAGACAACAACATTGGAGACCCTGTCAAATTATTGCAAATTTGTTTTTTGTTTGCTTTTTAAGTATGCAATAGATATCCTCACATGTTAGCCTGCAGCATAATAGTTTGCAAAGCACATACTTTACTAAATACAGATGACTTTATACCAGCCTTTATGTGGTGGCTTCCCTCAAACTATCCATTTAATAGCTCTTCTGGCCCTCTAAATAAAAGTTGCATGCTGAGCATAAAATAAAACCTCCTGGTGTGTTCACATCTGTGATTACATTACATGGAATTACGATGGATCATGTAACACAACATATGTCAACAGATTTCCCCTTCAAAAGAAGCATGACAGAATCCAGTAGACAAACACAGCGTAAAACAATGGGTACTTTAGGAGAGGGAGGACTGGCAAAGGAGCTGTATAAGTACATATGGTCTCGCCCCTTTGCTGCAATGGTCACCAGGATGTTATTTGTGTCTTGGAAGCTGTCTATTAGGCCCCTACCATCAAAATGCCAGGCAAAACAGCTGGTGGCTTGTAATTTGATGTTCAGACAATTCCTTCCTTCTGCTGTGCTCCAATCAGAGCAAGAAGGAAAAGCAAACTGTCCTGTAGCACTGCTCACTTTGACTCTTTGAATCTCTGGGGGTCCAGTTCTGGACTGAGCAGGAGGTGGCACTAATGTCTTGCAGAGTAAAACTGTTCCCTCTGAGGACCATGTACTTGTTTCCTTGCAACAGAGACTCTGTGGGTGTTGAGAATTGTTTGAGAGCCCTGGCTCACTGATCTTGCTGAGTCCTGAGCTCAGTGGGATCTCAGTGGCAGCAGCAGGAGCAGAATTTGGATTGCTTGGCAGATGAGATCTTGCCTCTAGTTCCGGTATGATGACCATGAAACCTTGTCCCTGTTGCTGCTGTGTTTGACCTGGAGCAGGAGGGAGAATGATCTGGCACTTGTAATTTTTATCAGGAAGAAAGAGAGGATGCAGATCCAGTCCTGGATGTCCTCCTGGTGAGGTCTTAGAAGGACCTGTGACAGGCCTGCCTGCCACAGGAGTGAAATAAATGCCATCAGCATGACGGATTAGGCAATGCAAATAGAAATGCTTGCCCAAAGAAAGTGGTGTATTCTAGCACCTCTCCTGACTTCAAGCACTGGCTTAGTAGAGATGTTCAAATCCTTTAAAAGTGTACTGAATGCATATAAATGTTTTCATGGCCTGAAGGTCAGATTGTAAGAGTTCATGAAGGCAATATGCTACTCCCTCCCTGGTCACAGTTAAAGAGACAATAATTAAGGAGGGTATGAGGCTGAAGAACCTGGGGAATGGGAAAGGATGAAATCTGAGTTTGCATGGAACCCTTTGGAAAGATAGTGAACACTTAAATCTTCAGCGGTGCAAGTCACCAGCCTCCCTGAATCTCAGTTTAGGTTTGAGTCAGTCTTGGCAGATACGCTCACACTTCTTTGGTGCTCTGCCCGAGAGTAATCTCTGCATGTGGCTCTCATGTTGATCCTAGGGCTCTGAAGGAAACCCAATGGCTGTTTAATGCAATTTTTGTGCAAAAGTCTGAAAGACTTGACCATTATTCACTGCAAATTCCTTGATATTAAAAACCGAATAGGACACAAACACCATCCACTGAACAGGTGGTGGGGCATTGGAATGGGCTGCCCAAAGAAGTGGTAGGATCAGCGTCCCTGGAAGTGTTCAAAATACGTTCGGATGTGGCACTTGGGAAAAAGGTTTGGTGATGAACAGAGTGATGTTCGGTTTACAGTTGCACTTGATGATCTCAGAGGATTTTTCTAACCTTCTTGATTCTATAACTTTTCAGTAAGGAGTGAACTCAATAGCTAAAGATTTTCCATGTTGGAAATGTATCCTATGCTTTATCATGTGCACCTACTTACTAGGCAGTCAACACTGGACTGAAGCATGCAATCATTTTTTGCCTCCGTGAAAGGAGCACTAATTGTTTTCTTATATTGGCATGAAGCTGGGTTGTGGATAAATTGCTGTGATAATACTTTAAGATCCTGTTCTAACTGCATATTGATTGATACTCTGTCAAGTCAACTGGAAACCATGCAATGCTCACAACTTAAAAACAGAGAAATAAAGATAGACCACAGACACAGAATAGGACGTCTAGGAAGAGAATTGTTTACATTTACTATGCCCAGCTCTGCCTTGGCTCTTCAATGATGGGAAACTTTAGGATAGTGAAATTTTAGATTTTTCTTGTAAGCAGGTTTTGGCTCCATCAGTTAAAAACAAAGGAATTACACTTTTGAACTCCCAAAGGAATTTCACTACAAAGTTTGATTGAATACAAATTTTTCTACCCTACTCCTGCTCTGCCAGTTCTTCTGCTGGCACATTACACTGAATAGAGCAGAGGAGAATGCAGCAAACTTCAACCAGTGATACCAAAATGTTCAGAATTTTTTTTTTGTGTGTAAATCAAAGCATTTTGCAGAACATTTTTTTTTTGTTTTAATTTCTTTTGCTATAGGTTAATTGGGTTTGGCTTTATGCACAAGACAGATTTCCTGAGAAGCAGCCAGTAATTATTTCTCCATTGTCTTTACAAAAAGCTGCTTTGATTTTGATAGACTGGCCTTTTCCCTGCCTTCTAGACTTACATAATATGTACAAGAAATGAAATTAGAATAAATGAGAAAACTTTGAAGTAGCTGATATTTCAAATATTTCTTCTACAGTTGTCCACTTGATGACAGAATAGCAATACATTTTGTTTTCCATTTCTTTTCTCTTACTGAATTTCTTTATAGACACTTGAGTTTTGTCTTTAAGGATTTTTTTCTGTTCATGAGAGCTATTAACAGCTTTTTATACATTTTGGTGTGAAAAAATATTCCCCCCCCTTTACACATATTTTTTTAACTGTCTAGAATGGATCACTTGGTCTTTTGTTTTTGTTGAGATAGTAGAAGTTTTGTTGCAGCATTTTTTTCCTGTGTTGTATGATTATTTATGAGATAGTGCATAGGTCTGCCACAAGTGTTTCTTTATCCAGGTGCTAGTGAAGCAAATTTATTTTGTAAGGTACTTCAAAATGCAGAAGAAATGAAAAACAGGAAGAGGAATTTACAGACACAGCAGCTGAAAACTCTCATATTTTTACAAGGGTGCAATTCTTATTAATTACCCAGAGCTGCTAAAATTAATTCTGGTGCTGAATGCCTAGGGACTGGTACTGGGAACAGTTGCTGAAAACATATGCAATTTGAAAATAAGTCACTTGTTCTCTTAATATCTTTGAGTGAACTAGGAAAACCAGTTTAAAGTGATGGAATTCATTATTTTTTAAGAAAGCCCAGAATGCATAGCTGCATAGTAGTATTCAGCAGGGGAAACCAAAATATAAATGGAACCATAAAAATGTAGGGGAATTTTTGTTCTCTCTCACATACTGATATGGGTATCTAACTCCAAATTTGAAATGGTGCAACTGCAAACACACACTGGACAATAACTTGATGGAGACATGTATGATATGTTTGCAACCTGTCCTCATGAGACTATAATAATGAAAGATTTCACGTTCTTAAGTTTATAAGTCCATGAATGGAAGCTCATATTTTAGAACACTGGTCTAAATTTTATGGAGCCAAAATTGCTAGCAAATTTTGCCCAGACGTTTCAATGGCTGAAGTGTTACAGTTAAGGCATAGCTCCAACACTGTGCAGACTTCTTGCATCTTTAAGGGAGAAGTCTTCATGTTATCCCCAGAAGCAGCTGGCAGTGATAAGCAGGATAAACTTCTGTACTTGGCTCAGCCCATATAACCTTCTGCCAGAGAACCCTTGTTATTCAAAGTAAATAGCAAGAACCTGTTCTCCTTTTAGACTCCTCTGCTGAAACCTTATTAAGGACTCAATGATATAATTACTCTGCCTGAAAAGGATTTGTGTGGTATCTCTAGACTTAATTAAAATTTGATTCTTCATAAGGGATGGTGTGTGTGTGTGTGTGTGTGTGTGTGTGTGTGTGTGTGTGCGCGCCCATGATGAATTCAAGTAGGGGCAAATATACATTTTCTTTCATCTTGTCTCCTCATAATAAATAATAATCTCAGATCATTATTTCTTTTGCTTGTAGTGACCCAAGTTCTTCACCCCTGGGAGAATGCAAGTGCCTGGCAACATGCTAAAAACACTGAAATGAAACAAGTGCTAGAAATGGTGAACTTCAGTATACAATTATGAAGAAGCAAGTCATAGTTTCTCCCAGAAATATAGAGCAACTTGGATAACTGGATGTAGAACCAAAGATGTGTAAATTAAGTAAATTCTACCACTGTAATGTTTTATTTTGTTGCTATTCCTCTAATTATAAAAAGCTTTTAAGAAAACCTCTACATGCCTATGTAATTGTTTCCCTAGGTAAGAGACAAGTCTCCCACACACAAATAACTGGCTAGTGATATGTCACTCAAGTTATTTAGTTTAAATTAATCTCATACTGCTTTTTCTGTGGAAATAAATGACAATAAAACAGAAAAGAGGAATGATACAGGGCAAAAAATTATTTTGTCAAGTCCTGAGTTTCAGAAATAAACAATGATTTGCAATTATTTTTCAGAGTAGTTTTCTGTTGTGAACAGCAAGAGCAATTATTTATATTACTCTATAAATTTTAATCTGTTGATACCTCCTTTCCTCATGAAAATCCCAGCTGACATTTGTGTGAGTGACTTTAATTTGCAAGTATGAAAGGAACTACAAAGTGAGAGAGAGTTGAGGGACAAAACCTTTGCCAGTGACCTCCCAGTGCAGCCACCAGTGCTGCTGATTCTGGTAACTAGCATGCCTAGTTAGATTGGAGGGACTGGTATCTGAATGAAACATTTCTAGTACAACAGTGGTCATTACCCAAAATGCAAAAGTGATCCTGGTATGAGATGTATCTTCTTTCCTCTACTACCATGACCTCATTGCTATTGTTAATTAAGGTAACTAGAGCTGTGTTATGCTGTCTGAAAAATGCCCTTTCAAGCATCTCTGAGCACATCTCTGCTACACTGGAGCATTCTATTCACCGGATGGAGAGAGGACAATGACACCTCTTGAACTCTGAGCTCTGCTTTCTGAGTTCCACTTAAAGCAGAACATACTTTGAGGTGTTTTCAGCATTACTTGGTCAATCTGATTTTTCACTGTTTTCATTGCTAAAGGTATGAAGTGGGTATTGGGAAAAATAGAAACCAACACCTTACCTGACACTGAAATCAAGTGTAAAAGAAAAAAAAAAAAAAAAAAAAAAAGAAAAACCAAAAAAAACCCACAAAACCCACACACAACACAAACAAAAAAACTAAACAATGAACCAACCAATAAACCAACAATAAAAAAAAAAATTTACTCTCCCAGTTGCATCTCCAAAGTCAAGAGTTGATTTGACTTCTGTCTTCTGCAAATAGCATGCAGTTGGAGGAACTTTACATGCTTGGCATGCCCAACAAAGAATTACAGAAGTATTTTTGCATATGTGACTTATCAGGAAAATTACTCCTGTGAGTTATTAAGCAGTTTCTTATTCATTGCAGTCAATCAAATAAAAAATGTATATATTATGCAAGAAATGCAAAAGAACTTGTGATGGCTGCTTTGTGAAAGCTTCATAAAACATTTCTATAGTTGATTTTACCAAATATGTGTGAATGATTCTCACAGGTGATGCAGGATGTTGTAACTTCCCTAACTGAAAATAGCCTTACAAGGTGTCACATAATGTACCCACTACTTTTATTTGTATGTAATTTTTCATCTTGAAAAATCCAAAGCCATTTGTAATACTAATATAAAGGGATAGTTAGGCCCAGGCATGGAAAATGTCCACAATAAGATTGGAAGACAAATATGATGTTGCACGAGGGCTTTCAGGACATGAGCTGAACAACACTGCCCAGTATGAATTGCATGGCATTATTTAGACTGGAAGACTGTAAGCGGGATTTGGTCAGTATCATGGGACCTCTTTGTCCCATGAGATGATGAGTTTTTTTCATCATTCACAAATGGTCAGGCCCCTCCATGTCCTTTTTTCATATGCTCTTCATCTCAGTGACTTCTAGCACTGGTCTGATACTTACAGGGACACGAGAATATACCTACTTTCTGTCCTGCAGTGTCTGAGTTCTCTCTGGGAGATTCCCAGGCTATTCAATGGCAACTCAGCTGAGCTCACAAAATTGGACAAGGACCATTGGCCAGGACATTGTGGCTGGAGACAACAAAACACAGCCATCAAATGCAATTGCACTCTCTGTTAAGCAGCAGGTGTTCTTAACTGTTTGAGTAGGTCTTGCAGCTGACAGTCTTGCTGTGGAACTATTAGACTGACACAGTTTCCAGTCTTTTTGACTGTTAGGGCATCCTCTTTAACAGGAACCTTTTTCTCCTCTCTACTTGACTCAGATCGATTACAGTCTGGAATGCAAACAGATTCTTCACTGTGAAGATACAAAAAAGAAGTTTTTGAAATGTGTATATATGGCCAGGTAAAACAGAGCTGAATACTGTACAACAAAATACAGTTGTCTGACAATTACATGTACTTTTCCACTCTTCAGAGTTCCATAATATATTGATTTCAGATAGCTTTTAAATGAAGAATAAATATTTCTGAAGGCAATGCAATGTAAGAAAAAAGAATTCCAGATGACACACAGACAAGAAACCAGTCCAGTCGGCAAAAAATATACTTTGTGTGCAACACTCAGCAATCAATGTTTCTGAAGGTATTTTAACTGCAGAAGCCCTCAGGTGTGTGCTATATGTTGTATATGTGCTATATGTGTGCATATGAGTGTTCATGGCCTTACGCATGTGTGTGGATGCTGTACCCAAGGGAAACGTAACACTGTGCAAGTGTCTCCCTGAACACCCTCCTGCAATGATAAAATTCCCTGAGGAAAGTAACACTTGGGAAAAGTGATGGTATAATTTGGTCACCCTGTGCTCTACTGTTACATTTATAAATATTCTACAGGGCTTGATAAGGAATAAGTAGATATTTTAATAAATGGTGCAATGGTTCTTACACTTAGTAGAACATAACACAATGGCACAATGCTTCTTAAGAGCATTGTTTCATGAAAGATGTATAATCATCTTTGGCATGAATGTGCTTATATATTTATGAAAGGACCTATATGGAGAAATGAAAATTCTGTCCTATGGGAGAGTTCAACTTTTGGAAAACTCAAAATGAGAAGAATTGCTGAAATCTCCAAGTATTTCACAGAATGAAGCAGTTTGAAATATTTCAATAGGAAAAACATCAAAATGGCCATACTAAAGCAGTTAATCCTAGTAACATTGAAAAAAATCTAGTATTTGATATTCATTACATTATAGCATTGCTTAATGTCATGCAAAATATAATGATAATGAAACAAAAAATAAGTATATGTATTAAACTGAGAAAGTTACTAAAAAGAGGCTTTAAACTGAATTTAAAATTACTTTGAAACCTTTCCTTAAAATAACTGTAAAACTCAGCACTTTTCCATAAGATATTTTGATTAAGAAGAACCAACATTTTCATGTTGAGTATGTTTTTATCAATCAGTTTTTCTCTGACCTTTTAAAAAGTTTTTTTGGTTAGACTTAATGTAACCCCTAATATGTAGCGGACCTACCCTTACTCCAGGTTAGAATGCTAGTTCTTTTCATCTGCCCAACTGGCTTAATAAGTCAGGTGCAAGATTTCTCCTCCCCAAAGCACCATATTACAACAACATCACACAGGACATGTGGTTCAGATCACTGGAATGAACATGGTGCAGAGGTTTTTGTAGTCAGATGGAACACATAAATCAGCAGTGGCAACATGTTTTCTTTTTCTTTTTCTTTTTTTTTTTTTTTTTTTTTTTTTTCTTTTCTAAACATATTTTATGGGATACACAGGAATTACAGAGAGAGCATCTAGCCTGGAGTTATCCAGGGTTGCTCCTTTCTGTTCACAGACATATCACACTGACCTAAGGCCACTTGCTCTTTGCTTACCTGGTCATTGTAGCTCGCCCACCATTCCCCATACTCCCTTTTGGGGTGAAACACTCTATTTCCGACTTGTGCGGGGGGGCCAGTCTCCTGCCTTTGTACCTAATAAATCACGACAACAACAGGAGCAAACAGAGAGAAGTGATTGTGTGCTCAGCTTTCTTTGTCAGCTGCTATGCAAAGGGCCATGCCCATGAATGCTACTGTGGCAGTGGTAGAGAAGAGTGCAAAGCAGCTGTGGGAGTGGTGGAATAACTGCATACAACCCCAGACCAGTGTTAAAGCCAACAGGGTTATGCAGGACAGGTGCTCGTTTTCCTTATATATATCTATATATATATATATATATATATATATGTCTGAATTTGTATATAGGAGGAGACAAAGAGATTTACAGAATAAATAACAGACTAACACTTTAATATTTTTTGGAGTTAGACCAAAACAGAGAAATTAGACCAAAAAGAGAAAAAATCTCTTTACAGAGAAACATTTTAAGGGAAGCAACACTTAAGAATCAGTGGGAAATCAGGTGGTGGTCATGCTCTCAACCAGCATATTTCCCTGATCCTACATCTTAGTAATATGTGGCTTGTTTCACTTTTCAAAGCAAACACCAGTGTAGTGGCCTGGTTTGCTAAAATCAGTGTGGGCTCACAGTTCATGTTGTGATTCGGACTTCCTCTCTCCACCCACAACAAATTGAAGTTAGATTACTTGCTGAGGTCTTGACATAAAGTCAAGTGAGATCAACCCCAAACCTAGAGCCCAGTGCACTACTATGTAAAAGACCTCGCACTTCGATGAAGAAAAATCATTTGGATAAACAGTTTAATACTTGATCATCTAATTGATTCATGGATGGGATACAAGATAAGACCTGGTTGTTGTTTACACTCTGAACACTCAGTTGGGATGCGAGTAATGTAGAGGTCTCATACTGTCTCTCCTTCCAGCAGCGAACTTCACCCTAATTGCACCAATTCTTGTGCTAGGTGTTGAAATACCTATTTAAGTCCTTTAAGAAAAATTTGAGCAAAATACCTGCACGTGTGTTCTCAAAGAGATAGTGATATCCCACCCCCAAATCCTGTGAGCTGCACTGTGGGGGTTTAACACACTTCTGTGGGGAAGCTTGCACATTTAACACTGTTAAAATCACAGAATAATGGACTTTTTTTTTGTTAATTCATTAATCCGATCTAGATAACAAAAGTACCTTGAGGAGAATTACTCTGTAAAAGATAAATAACTTGAATACAGAAAAAGTGAACTAAATATTGGGTGCAGTTGTATTGGACCCTCAGATGCAGAGTATATTGCATAAATCACTGATGAAGAAGCTTAGTGAAACTGAGAGTGAGCTGGAGACAGCAAAATGAGGTGTTTAAATGCAAAGTCCTTTGGTTTACAAATTATAACCTTACTGAAAGGAGAACAACAGCAATTTTGCAGACTGGCTACCAAGGTTTTAAGACCATCTGGAGTGTGGTGTATGTAGTGTTCCCAGATAGGCACAAAGCTCGCACAGGACACACGTACTAAATGGAAGTCGATTCCTAGAGCAGAGAAAAAGTGGATGGATTTAGAGAGTAGATAAATTTACTGAAAAATACAAATGAAGTCAAACTGGATCATACAAAATTAATTGGAATAGCCAGAGAAAAAGAGGAGAAAGAAAAGAATGTGTAGAAACTTCACAGGAAAAAAAAGGAAATAAACTTGAAGTGAAGGTGTTAGACATCAAAGAAAGTAGCATTTAGGAAGAGCAAGATGGAAATACAGTTATGTTTAGAGTAAATAACTAAAAGAGATATTTTGTTTAGCAAGCCATATGGAAAAAATCGAAACTGAAAACCTGGGAGACTCTAAATGGTCGCAATAAGCAGGATTTTAGAAAGTAGCAACAAAAAGGAACAAGAGGTAAATGTCCTTGGTAATCCCATCCTGAAGAACCCCAGGTTAGGATGGATGCTCCGATAAATAAACCCCTACAATGGTCCATTCCACATTAGTATAAATTTCACTACCATGAAAATCAGCAGAGACACTGTTATGAATCTCACAAGTTTATCCATCCACTCAAGAGCAAATTGCACTACCAGAAACAACATGTTGCCTCATAAAACCTCAAAGCCTTCAGCCATAGTAGCTGCTATGCTGCCATTCATTCAGTGCTAAATATCCATGGATATTATGAAACAGTAAACCAAACTATAGTCAATCCTTCTGGTGTGGAAAGTGCATCTAACTGTTGAAAAGAAGCTGCAAAATTCTTTGAGTGACTATTCTAAAAAGGCATACCAAAGGTTCTCCATAAAATGTTTTCAGCTCTCAGAGCAGTCACAGGATATTAATTTGGCTCAGGACATCTTGCATTAGAAAAATGTCACCTTCCAGGTTGTTAAAACCAAGGATTGCTTTAAAAGAGCAAATCTGTTGAGGGGGAAAACCCTCAGGCATTTCTTTGCAGTTGACATAAGAACTACTAATGTGAAAAGTAATTGGGTATTTTGGAAGAGTCATAAAACAGTACAGTGTGAGCAGTATTTGCAAGAACAAATTTATTTTCTCATTTTCTCCAATTTCAAGACTATATATTGGCTAGAAAAAAGATAGAAGACTTTGATTTTGTGCAGAAAGGCAGCAATTAAATTCCAAATAGGATCTAAAATATTTTGGGTCATCTTTAAATGTTTTTCTCACATCTTTTGGTGGGAAATGGTGATCTGTGTCATTTTTTTGGCACAGGAGCAAGTTTTTTTAAGGAAAATATTCAATGACAAATACTAATATGTTTTACAAGTGTTGATCAGTGAAAGGAAATTTGGGAAGCAATTCCCAGTAACTCAGTCACTGCAGAGCTTATCCATTTGCCAAATGCTTGGTCACATCACTCTATCTTACACAGCAGTGCTCTGCTCTCTCACTAGAGAGAAAGAACTCCTGGGCTGAGAAACCATGACTACACTGCCTTGGTTTTTAGTGAAGTCAATGTACATGTGATTCATGGTAGGAAACACCAATGAGACTGCTCAGGTTTGAAGGACTTCTAGACTTTTCTCTAGCCTTCCTCACCTTCCAACAAAACTCCTCTTGTAGACTTATATTAATGGATACTCTGGGCAACAAAGGGGGAATATGGGTGTCATCATCCTGAATGAGATCAATAGTGATTCACTAAAATCTGCAGAAATCAGCTTTTATATATGTGTAGACCCCCGTTTTTTTTTTAATTTTTTTTTCTTTTTTTTCTGTGCTGACAACTCTCTAGATATGGGCTTTTTTAGACTATGCCTCCACAGTAGATCCAGGTGCTGGTATCCTGGTTATCTTGTCTTCACGTTAGGATGAGACACATCTTTGTTCATCATCCCTCATACTTCTGCTCTTTCCCAGTTTCCATGCAAAAGGTGTTGGAAGCCTTGATCATCAGCACATTTCATATGGCTGTACATCTCCTGTCTGAAGGATGTTGGCAGGGGAGACCTAGAAGTTGTGCCAAAGCCTATATTTGTCAATAGTTTGGTCAAAGACATTCTTGAATCCTTGAAAAATAATCTGTGGATAGAATGTGGATGGTAATGCACAGGTTCTGTTAAAATGTCCACACTATACACAGTGAGAGGTTTCTCAAAAGACAAGACCTTGCAATAACAAAAAGTAGTTTTTTTCAAACAATCTGTCCTCTGAAAAAAAAAATTACCAAATATAAACTCGTTTTTAATCTTTCACATAAGGCGTTTTTTTCACTATTTCAGTAAAAAAGTTTAACTAACTGAAGATATCTCAGGGTATCTTTAGGTTTTTAAAATACAAATAAAATGTAATTTATTGTGTTGGAGATGGAGATCTGTCATAAATCCCTATTTCAAATACAATCTCATACTGCCATGCAGAAGTGTTATTGATTATTGAGCACCCAATGTGTGCTTGACACTGTTAACTTATATACAAGCAGTATATTTCATCTGCAATATTCCTTGGTCTTGATATTAAGAAATTAAGAAGAACTTAAATTTCATTGCAGTAGAGTTAAAGCTAGCCTTTAGATTAGATAATATGTTTAAAGATTTCTGCACAAATGCTAAAGAATGGAATATGAAACATATTTAGTGTTTTTACTGTAGGGGCTGCTTTGAACTACAAACATACTGTGTTTTCGAAAATTGATTCTGTGAGATCGGTCATGCTATCTTGAAATTGCAGCATATTGCACTGAATATTTTGAAAGAGTCTCTGTTTATTTTGTGAAATTTCCCCATTTATATAATGGATAAAATAAATTTTATGTTATTAAGCATGCCACTTTTTTAATTTTTAAAAAAAACCAACATATAAACATTGCTTACTTAGCACAATTTCAGCAAGTAAAATTGCTTTAGAGCCAAACTTACAATTTTTTTTTCAAGTGCAGCATAATATTTCACTTTAAAAAAAATCTTATTCTAATTAAGCAATAATGTGTAATTGCAGCTTGTGAATTAAAATGACATTTTTGTTGGAATGATATTCAAAGCATTATACTGGCTTAAGGGAAGATTAGACTGATAGTAAAATATTACTAGGCTGCTTAATTGCCTTGTTCCAGAAAGGTTTTTCTGAAGTATTGGACAAATCATTGCACAGGATTTTCATACACTAGAATCTGACCTATATAAACATCCAATATATAATGGTATATATATAACAGCAGATTAAAATTGTTATATATTATAAACATATATAATGAGTATATATTTTATAAGACATCTGCCTTAAATATCAGTCACAGTCATGAAAAGGTATTTGTCACCAGACAGAGCTTTCAGCCAGATGAAATGCCATCTCCTCCACTAGTCTACATCAACATTCAGGATACAAATACAAATACCATTCATTATAATTCATACAGGTGCTCCCACAGTGGCAGACTGCTTCGTGACTTGGTGGACCTTGGAAGGAGGAGGGTACATGTCCTGGTCTTTTGTTTATCAGATTAATTACAGTGCATCAAATCAATTGCAATGCCAGTTTTTATCAAAGTTTGCTGTAGAAAGAAGCAGAAGTTCCTTTGGTAGACAAACCTGAAAGACAGAAGCTACATTGTGCATGCTAATGAA